CGCGAGTCGGCGACTTGGGCGGTCGCGTTATCATGGCGACGCCGACAACAATGGACGCCGTCCATCAAGTGGACCGTCTCGTGCTCCGCGAGGAGGATGGCCGCCCCTGCGGCCGCGGCTTCCTCGGGCGTCGCAATCCCAGAGATGTCGAGCCTCAGATTGGCCACCTCCGCACCCGCGGTGGCGACTCAGCACGAGACCCCGCCGGGCGACCCGCGGCGCAGGCGCGCCCCATCTCGCCGGGAAGACCTCCGGCGTTGAGCGCTGTGAACCTTGCGCGCATGTCCGCCTCGACGTTGCCGCGCCTGCCCCTGGCCGATAGCCCCTGCCTCCGCGCCGCGGACGGCGGCGCGCACCTTCGCGACGGCGAGGCCGTAGCCGGTCGCGCCTCCGCCGTCGTCGATTGCCCTCCAGGCGCGGGCCCGCGCGGCCACCCGCGCCGAGGAACTTCCGGCGGTCGCCGCTGGACCTCGTCCGAGCGCGCCTTCGACAACGCAGTCTGCGTCGAACTGCCCCGTCACTGGCGGGGCCGGCGCCGCCGGCAAATCCGCGAGCTCGGCCCCGTCGATGTTCTGGGGCGGCCCAGGCAGCGGGGCCGCCGCCGCCCTCGCGGCTGCCTTTGGCCCAGGATCGCGGCGTCGCCCCCCCCCCCCCCCGCCCCCCCCCCGGAAGCTGGGCGACTGCGCCGGCCGCGCAAGCGAGGGCGGCCCCCGCGTCGCAGGGCGCGCCGACCGAGCACAGGTCGCCCGTCACGAAGGGAAGCCCATCGCCCATGATCCACGGCGCGCCCGCTGGGAGGTCGCCAGCCGGCGGCCCCCATGCGATGGGGGGCTCGGCGAGCCGCGGACTCTCGAGCAGCGTCGCGACGGCGGCGCTGCTCAGCCTGTCTCTGAACTTCCCGACTTCAATGGAATGCCACAGGGGCGGCCACTGCCTGTGGCGAGCGCGATGACCGCGCCTCGGCGCGCTAGGCTCAAACTCGCAGGCCGCGCGCAGCGGGGGCGAGGCCAGCCCGCGGATGCGCCTGCGCAGGCTGAGCCACTGCGCGTTGATCAAAGGCGACCTCGCGAGCCCGATCTTCCGCGCTCAGCGCGCGCCAGCGCCTCGCTGCTGACGCGCTGGCCGCCGCCTCACCGAGGGAAGAAAGGCCCCCGTCTGGGCGTCGGCGCGCGCGTCATTGTCGAACTGCCTTAAATGTCAATTCTGAATCTCGCGCTCCGCGATCTTCTCGGCGCGCCAGGGCGAGCAATTGGCCGCGCCGAGCAGTCGTCGAAAGCCTGCGCCGCGGCGCCTACCCACTGGAGCTAAAGGGCAGCAGCTCCCAGAGGGACGCGGACGTCGCGCCAGATGCGGCCGACGCCAGCGTTCCGGTCGAACGTCTTCCTCAGCGCGTCGGCGGGGGGTCCACTTCTCCCGCGCGGCCCTGGCGCCCACGTGCACCAACCAATGGGCGGCCGCGTTGATTGGGTCGAGCACGCGGGGGCCTGTCCGCATGAACGCTGCCGCGAGGCTCTTGCCCCTAGGGCGTGGCCCCGCCGCTCGACGCGCCACGGCGCGCGGCTTCGCGAGCTCGCTGGCGTCGACTCCCGCGCAGTCGACGCCGGAACGCGCCGACGGCAGGGGCCCAGTGACTGAGTGAACGCCGCCCTCGCAGCCGCGACCCCGCCGCGCCCGAGGCCGAGGCGGCGCCTGATCTTCGGCGCTCTGCCCCTGCAAGAGCTGAGTCTCTGCTGCCGGATAGTAGCTCCAGCAAGCCTCGCGAACCCTCGCGCGGCCCACGCCCGGGTTTCTCGCCTGCTTCGCTCCGAGCGCCCCCAAGCAGTTGGCCGGCTCGCTGGAGATGTCGTTCCCGAGGTTGGCGCTGCCGCCCAAAGCCCTGGACTTTGTCGCCGCGACCGCGAGCTCGACCGCCGCCGGCCCTCGCGCGAGGGCGCGCGCGGCACCGATCAGGTCCTTCTCCAACTGCCCGGAACCGCCCCAGCGCCGCATCGCCAGGTCGCCCACAACAGCCGCTGGAACCACCATGCCGCGGCTGGCCACCAGCGCGTCAAGCGGCTTCAAGAGCATCAGCTTCACGAAATCAGCCGCGAAGGCGTCGCCCGCCAGCCGCCAGGGCGGTCTGCAGCGCTCTGACATCCCCCGCGATGCGCCCGTCGAGCGCGGGCGCACTCGGCGCCCTGTGCAAGACCACCTGCAGCTTGGCCGGCCACTTGGTGGCGGCCTGGATTAAGCGCGCGCGGCCCACCTGCTCGAAGGCGTTCCAAGAGCCGAGGAGGATCGACACGCTCGCCATGTCGTGGTCTGGGTTGGCGTCCCCCGCCATGGTGACCCACTCCGAAACAAGCCTGCTACTGCCCTGGCCGCCCTGTCACAGGCTCCGCCATCGGTGGCAGACAAAGAATACCTGTCGTTGTCCTACTACCACATTTTCATGATGGGCCTGCGCAGTCTGCCGTGAACCTGCTCGACCGCCGCCACCAGCGCGATCGGCCTCAGGCCCCTGTCCGCCTTCGGGATGAGGGCGAGCTTCGTCGCAAAGCAAGGGCATTCCGGCGCCTCCTCGATAAACGTGATAAAGGTCCGCCAGCGTTTCGATGCTGTCGTCAGACATCTAATTGAATTCCCTCGGCCTGATGGAATCGAAGCTGGACCTCGTAACCTCCTTGGGCGATCCGATGACATTCCTGAACTCGCCCACGGTAAGCCTATCTGGGCGCTGTTCGACGTCATCGGGCCAACGATGTTGCCGTTTGCCGAATTCTTGCCCTGGGCCTTGTACGTCCCAATAACTCGTCCACTCCGCCACCCTGCTGCGCTGGCCGGCCCCGCGTTCCAGCACCGCGGGATTGTGGACACCGCGTGGGTGCCCGCCCTTGACAGTTCGTTGTAGCCCAGCGTGGCTGTTTCGAGGTCTTTCTTGACCATGCCCTCGGTCCAGCGCGTCGCCGCAATGCTGATGGCCTCGAACTGATTGATTGAAAAGTCTGTCGCGCCTTGCCGCTAGGACCGCGAGGACCTCCTGCCGCTTGGTGGGGTTACCATACAAGGTAAGCCTTTTTGCGCTGCAGCGTCCTCAAGGCCCCGATTCTGGACAGTGGCGTCTTCGTCTGAGTTGCGCCCTTCAGATTGATGGCGGTGTTCCTGCACCAAGTGATGGCCGTCGTGACCCTTAGCGTCGAACTTAACGTCTTAGGAGGGGCTGGCGCAGCCAACTTGGTTGCCATGCTGCGATGGCGGCTGCTCCTGCCCGTGTGCTTGCAACGCTCGTGGTAGAGCGCGATCGCGTCGATCACGTTGATCCCCGCTGCCTCGATGAAGGTGCCCCACATCCCGTCGAGGTCGTCGTATCCCGCTGGAGCAGCGTCGCCCTGCATGTGGTGCAGCCTATGTGATGCAATCTGCGTGCGTCGGCGACAAGGCAGCGCCGTGGCGGCGACGGCAGCAACATAGCCGCCAGACCGAAAAACAGGCCCAGACGACGAGCGGCGACGAGGCAGCGACGAGGCGGCGACGGCGGCAACATAGCCGCCAGACCGACAGACAGGTTTAGTTCCCTAGAGGAGAAGTACGTAAGAACCCCTGAGTGCTAGCACTGTTTCGGGAACGAGTATATTAATACAAACGGCTGTACTCATTCAACTATATACACAAATAGACGAGCAGATACGCACATACGCGAACGTGCACGATATAATGCGATCAAATCCACTAGACATAGAACAACTATCGAGCACAACTTGAATTGCCCAGGGCTGTCTAAGTCGCGGGCGCCCCGGGAGAGCCCAAGACAGCAGAGACGGCCCAAAGACGGACCCAAAAGACCTTACGACGTCCCGAAGAGAACCCCAAGGCCGCCGAAATCGGCACATGATGGCCGCACGATGACCGCAAGACAGACCAAAATGCTCTGAAGACGGCTCAAGGGGGGCCCGAGGATAACCCCCAGAAGAGCTCCAAGAGACAACAACCTTGATGTTCCAAACGTTTGGGTGCGATATTTGCTTTCTCGCCGTCCCTCTCGCTTTCAGAGCCTCCAAAACGGCCTGGCCCAAACAGAGGCTCCAAATATCGCTCCAAGATTGCCCCAGTGGCACTCAGTAGGGCCCTAAGGAGGGCTCAAGACGGCCTTAAAGGGGGCTCAAGACAACCCCAAAGGACCACAAGGCGCCCCAAGAGGGGCTCAACAGCCCACGAGGGCCCCAAGACAACAGAACAGGATTGCCCCAAAACACCCTCAAGACTCGGGGCCCAAGACGGCCCAGTGGGAACGCCCCGGGACAGCCCACGACACCCCCGAGACGCCCTCGAGAGGCCCAGGACGGCCCTAGAGACACCCAAGACAGCCCAACCGACCCCCAAAATAGACTCAAAACGGCCCAGAGAGACCCCCAAGAGGGGCACACTCGCAACGTGGCGACTGTGTTCGGCGCCTCCTCGTGGGAGCGCGGGCCGTGCCCTCTTCGTTTTCCTGCGTGCAGTGCACGCTCGTCCTGTCTCCCCTCGCCGCTGCTTCTCTCGCAGCATGCGCCTCGCTCCGGGGAACACGTGCCGTGCTCGCGGAAGACCCGCTGGGAAGCCAAGTCGAGAGGTGCTGCATGCCCGGCAAGTTCGTAGGTGGCGAACAACGGTGCAATGCGACGTTTTCTGTTCTGCCGTCGGGGACGCCTTGCCCCCTGGGCGGCTACAGAGCTTGTACCCTTGCGGTGCCACGTAGGGGCATAAACTTTCCGGCCGCCTGGAGGGCAGGCGTCCCCGACGGCGGAAAGGTTTATGTTACACCGTTGCTCGCCCGCGAAAGTTCAATGTGTCAGTGATTCGTGGGCGCGAGTGTGCGCGTGTGCGCAAAAGGCCCTTGCCCCCGCTCCGCGCGGCCCGAGTGCGCACGTGGCCGCCCTGCATCTCAGAGGCATGCGAAAGGGGGGGAGAGGGGAGGGAGGAGAACGAACAACAGCAGAAGGCAGATGAAACGGCAACCCCCTTTCTTATACCATCCCCCGCGCCGGATAGTTTCCGGATCTTGTCCTTCAACTTCTGGACTTCGGCCTCGAGTTCCTCGCCAAAGGGGGGGGGCGAGATCGATGCTGCCCATGCACATCGAGGCGCTGCCAACAAGAAAATATTACTACCATAATCCCACCAGCCATCTTGGCGTAGGTGGTTTAGGGCGGCTCCTCTTCCAACCCCCTTTCTTCCCCTTCGGGGAGGGGGTTTACCCCTCCCCCTACCTCCTCCCCTTGACGGGGCGCCCCGCGAGCGGTCAGGGCGTCCAACACGGCCTCGGCGAGGAAGCCAAACTCATTAGTTTTACCAGGGTTTTGGTCACATTTTAGCCTCCTGGGGGGGAGGGCGCTAATTCAGGAACCCACCTTCTTTGATCGATCTCCTCCGAGATGGCCCCACGAGCGCTCCCAAGGCTCCCAAGGTGCCCCAAGAGGGCCCCAAGAGGGCCCCCAAGAGGTGGCCAGGAGGCCCCAATAGGCCCCCAAGAGGCCCCAAGGATGCCCCCAAGAGGCCCACAAGAGACCCCCAAGTGGCCCCAAGAGGCCCCCCAGAGGCACCAAGACGCTCCAAGAGGCATCGGCGACAATGCCAAAATCATTGATGTTACTAAGGTTTTGGCCACATGTTGTCCTCCTGGGGGGGGGGCACTGCTTAAGATGACTCCAAGAGCGCCTGGGAGAGCCCAAGATGACCTCCAAGATGGCTCAAGATATCCCAAAATGCCTTAAGATGGCTCCCACGATGCTCCAAGAGGCCCCAAGACCGCTCCAAGACGGCTCCAAGTGGCCAAAGAGCTCCCCCAGGAGGCCCCGAAGATGTCAAAATCCTTCCAAAACATCAGGAAATCAATGTGTTTGGCTTTCTTGCCCTTTCGCTTCCGATGGCCTATCCGAGGCCTCAAGATGGCTCCAATATGGCCCAAGAGGGCTCCAAGAGCGCTCCCAAGGCCTCCAAGAGCGTCCCAAGAGGGCCCCAAGAGGCGCCCAAACGGGCCCCAAGAGGCCCCAACAGGCGCCCAAGAGGCCTCCAAGATGCTCCCCAGAGACCCCCAAGAGGCCCCAAGAAGCTCTTCGAAACACCCAGGACGCTCTAAGAGGCGTCCAGGACCGCCAAGAGGCCCCCAAGACGCTCCAAGAGGCCTCCACTGGGGGACCCGTCCTCTGTGTGCTGCCCACTTCCCTGATCGAGGCAATTCCTCTGGGTATCGTTTCTGGATGGGCTGGTGGGGTTACACGAAGCGTTTAGAATTTGACCACCATCCTTCCGTTTCCTTTCCCTTCAGTTTGTCTTAACCGTTTAACCCCCCCAACCACCCCACAATAGTGGAAAATTGCTGTTTTTCCGGCGGCCTTAATGACGGACGGGGGTCCCACCAATAGTGGGGAACAACAATGGGAAATAATGATTTCTCCACGGCGCCCGCCGCACAACAACGACGACGACTACAACTACGATTACGACTACGACCACGAAACAATTGCGGCTACGACTGCGGCTACGACTACGAGTTGTAGATTGTGAGCAACGCCTTCGGCGAAGAATGTGACGACCTATACTGCAATCCTCTTACAAACGTGTTCGACATTCATCTCTCGTGCAAGGTAGGTAACCCAGAGGTCATGATTCGCTGGGAGGGGAAACCCAACACTGTCCAGCGCGGCGAATATTTGTGGAACTGAAATTTCCGCCGCGACGACGACGACCACGACGACGACGACGACGACGGCGACGACTACGATTGCGACTACATTCGCGATAACCTCACGATTACAATCGCGATTACAACCTCGACCACAATCACAACTACTACAACAACAACAACAACAACAACAACAACAACAACAACAATATATTTGTTTGGCCGTCCTCATGAAGGAATGCTCACAAATCCTCTCGCGCAAACGGAAGCCCACAGTGGATTAATCCCCGAGAAAAAGACCCCCTAACATGATCCACCCCGCACAACAAGACTGGGAAAATAATCTCCACCGCGACGACGACGACGATGAGGAGGCAGGAAGAGGAGGAGGAGGGGGAGGAGGAGGAGGAGGAGGAGGAGGAGGAGAAAGTGGAGGAAGATAACGAATAAGAAGAATAATAATAAAAAAGAAGAAAACTCATAAGAATAAGAAGAAGAAGAAGAAGCAGCAAAATAAAAAGAATAAACATTATACTAAGAAGAAAATATTTGAATTCAAAAAAATTAACCCAATACTTGGCCATGCGTGTAGTCTGGTTCGGACTTCGGATGCCACGCTTGACAGATCAGCTCACACTCAACATCCGACGATGGAAACCATCTTCGGGTCTCGAGGTGTCGGCCGTCACGCACCGTGCAATCTACAATCCAAACAATATCGGACGAAGCAGTTGTGGGCTATCGCTGGGCTGGGGATGATGCCCCTCGAGTCTCGCCCGAAACCGACAACACTGCCCGTGTCTGGCAGGGCGCCGAGATACCAACCCCGCCCTGAAGGAACGAAAAAAAGTGGTGAGCCCAGTCTGGCTCTGCCGGGGAAGGGGGGAGGGGGGCGGGGGTGGTACGCGGGGGGGACGCGCGACCTCCGTTTTCCCAGTTTGTTTTTACTTATGATTATTCGAGGGTCCCAAGGACCCTGGGACTCTCCCGTCGGGACTTTCCCAGGACGCCCCCCCCCCTCAGTACCCCCCCCCGGCACTCCTCGGGACTCTTCCAGGGCTCTCCCCTCTGGGCCTCTCCAGGCACTCTCCTCGGGACCCGTCCCCTCGGGACTCTCCCCGACCCCCCTCCCGGACATTTCCAGGCCCTTCCCCCGGACCCCCCCCAGGGCTCTGCCCAGACCCTCTCGCGGACCTTTCCAGGATTCGCTCCTGACCCCCTCGGGGGACCTTCCAAACACCTCCTCCCGAACGTCGTCGTCCTCGCCGTCGTCGTCATGGTCGTCATAGTCGTCGTCGTCGTTGCCTTCGTCGTCGACGTCGTCGCCGTCCACCGAATCCGGAGCGTCCCAGATCGGCGGCACTGGCCGGAGACCACTACTATATATATATATATACACACATACATACATTACATTACATTACATTACATTGCATTACATTCCATTACATTACATTACATTACATTACATTACATTTACATTACATTACATTACATTACATTACATTACACTACATTACATTACACTACATTACATTAAATTACATTAAATTACATTACATTACATTACATTACATTACACTACACTACATTACATTACATTACATTACATTACATTACATTACATTACATTACATTACATTACATTACATTGCATTACATTACATTACATTACATTGCATTACATTCCATTACATTACATTACATTACATTACACTACACTACATTACATTACATTACATTACATTACATTGCATTACATTCCATTACATTACATTACATTACATTACATTACATTTACATTACATTCCATTACATTACATTACATTACATTACACTACATTACATTACACTACATTACATTAAATTACATTAAATTACATTACATTACATTACATTACATTACATTACACTACACTACATTACATTACATTACATTACATTACATTACATTACATTACATTACATTACATTACATTACATTACATTACATTACATAGCATGGCATGGCATGGCATGACATGACATGACATGACATGACATGACATGACATTACATGACATTACATTACATTACATTACATTCCATTACATTACATTACATTACATTACATTACATTACATTACATTTACATTTACATTTACATTGCATTGCATTGCATTGCATTGCATTGCATTGCATTGCATTGCATTGCATTGCATTGCATTGCATGCATACATACATACATACATGCATGCATACATACATACACATATACACACATATATATACAAACATCGGAAACGAGAACATGATCTTTTCGACACCTTCATCATGAAGGCCGCGCATTCGTCTGGTGGGCGATGTAGATTTCGTGGTGTTGAAGGTTATCTGATCGATTATGGTGGGCATCGTGGAGGGCGCGAGGACGCCTGCAGTGCGCCCTCCACTGGAGGTGGTACACGTACAAATGCGAATCGGGGCACGAATGATATGGCGAATGCGAATGAAATCGCAATCCTGTCATGCGGCCGTCAGGGATAGAAAAACATCTGGTGGTTGCGATTGCGGTGCCATCGCCGCCTGCTTGTGAGGAACTGCCTATACCCCAGAGCATCGCGTTCGCATTGCGTGCCCGACCTATCTCTACCAATTATACTTAACCGTTTCGCTCCATCCGCTGGCCCATAAAGCCTATCGTTGCCGCGTGCTCGAGTCTCGTAGCGGCAGGCGGATTGTGTGGTGGTGCCAATGTGGCCGACTTCTCGCGCGAAGTGAAGTTGAGGAGACGCAGCCGTCCGCACAGCTGCTGTGCGCTCGCGCAGCCCGTAGGGATCAACAGGGCCTGAGAGAGAGGATGAGGATGAGGAGGAGGCCTCTCGATGGCTTCTTGGGGCATTTGGGGCCAAACTTGGTCGTGAACAAGACGCCTCGTGGGGAGGCTTTTTGGCGCCTTTCTGGAGGCCTCTCGATGGCTTCTTGGCGGTATTGTTTGAACCTCCTGGGGCCTCTCGGGGGCCGTTTGTGGGCCTCTTGTGGCCTCTTAGAGGCTTCTTGGGGGCTTCTTGGGGTCTCTCGGGGCTGAGAGCTTCAAATGTCCGTTCGGGCCACCCGTCTGGGCACCCTCTTGGAGCCGTCTTGGGGGGTTCGTGGGCCGTCTTGGCGGCCTCTTGGCTATCCTGGGGCCCTCTGGGGCCAGTTTGGGATCCTCTTGGGCGTCTCTTGGGCCATGTTAGGGCGATGCTGGGGCCTCGTGGGCCGTCTAAACCAAAAAGGCAAGAACGCCGAAATCCTTCAAAGACTCTCAGGGGAATCGTTAGTTTCTGCCTCTGGGGGAAGTCTCTTGGAGGCCTCTTGGGGCGCATTGAAGGCGTCTTGGGCTGTCTTGAAGCCACATTGGACGCTGTGGACCGATTGCTCGGCGGCCCTCCTCCTCCTCCTCCTCCTCCTCCTCCTCCTCCTCCTCCTCCTCCTCCCCTGCGGCGCTGCCTTCTCCCTCGTCTTGGACGTCGCGCCCATGACCTCGACCTCCTTCTTCAAGGCCTGCACGGGCGACCCGCAGGTCGCGGCACGCGCCCACAAGACCCCGCGGGACCCCCCTCCACATCGCATGTGTTCTGCAGGGCGAGGAGGACGTCGACGAGGGGAGGAAGAGGAGGAGGAGGACCAGGAGGAGGAGGAGGACGAGGAGGGAGGGAAGAGAAGAAGGGGGGGGGCGAGGACGGAAGCGGCGGGGAGGAGAAAGATAAACGGGATAGTTCATGAGTTCATGCGCTACTCTGTTCCATCGTACGTCGTGCGCCGTTCCTTCCTTCGATCTCCCATCTCCCTCCATCCCCATCCCTCCTACCCGTCCCCCTCAGCCCCTCACCCTTCTTCGGATCGAACGGTGTGATCTACGGCGTTCCGCGCGCCAAGGCAGCTTCGGCACGTATCCTCGCGCTCTCTGGAAGATGTGCAACGCCGAAAACAACAAGCCATGTTATTGGAAGGCATCACGTCGAGTGAAACAACCAAAAAAAAACGCCACTGCTGGGCATCACTGGCCCCCTTTTATCTTACGTGCACGAGCCTCAAAGGCAGCTCCCCACTGGCGCTGTACGCCGCCGTGCCCCGCTGGCACGCTGAGAGGCGTGGAAGCATGCCACGGCCTGCCTGGTAGACCGCCCTCCGTCTGCCCGCAGACTAATGCGTGCATCCCCCCACAGTCGGACTCGATTGGACAGGACTTTTTTTTGGTCTGCGGGTCGAGAGCGGGCCTCTTCCGATTAAGAGCTAGGCGGGGCGCGCAAAGCACAGATTGGGCAGGACACGCGAGAGGACACAAGACCCTTCCGAAGGCCACATTGCCGCAGGAATGTAGGAAGCATGGGTCGCGAGACCCAGGACACAAGGGTAGGTACCCTTGATTTGGCAGGGTCGGCCTACTAATCTGGGCCGACTGTACTCACCGAGGCAACTTCCTTCGTGCCCGCTCGAGGATGGTGCACTTCCCGAATGGCATCCAATGCCTGAACCCCTCTTCCACACACGCACGCTCGAGGATGGTGCACTTCCCGCATGGCGGCCAATGCCTGACCCCCCCTCCCACGCGTGCCCGCTCGAGGATGGAGCACGTCCCGCATGGCAGGTAATGCCCGAACCATCATTCCATGCGCGCCCGCTCGAGGATTATGCACTTTCCTGCATGGTTGCTGACTCCTGGACTCCTCATCCCACGCGCACCCGCTCGAGGATCGTGCACTTGCCGCATTCCAACGCGCTGCTCCCAAGCGCACCAGGGCACTCGAAACCACGATCCCTCTGTGAAGAACTATGAATATGCGTCCCGAGCTCCAAGACGGCCCGTGCAGGCAACCAAGGGCACCCACATGGCCCGATATGCCTCGAAAACGACCCAAGATGGCCCCAAAGCGGCCGAACATTGGTTCAAGACGCCCCAAGATGCCTCTTAGACGGCCCCGAATGGCCACAAGAAGACCTCCAACAGGGACCGAAGAAGCCGAAGTCATTGGTGTCCTCGGGGTTGTGAAATGATGTTCGCATTACAGCCTTTCCAGGATGCCGTCAACTCAAGACGGCCCAAGAGGACTCCACGATGACCCAGGAGGCATCCAAGACGGCCCCGAGATGGTCCAAGAAGGCCTCCCGTGGGATCTAAGACGACCTTAGAAGGCCCTTCGACGGCCCTTCGACGGCGCCAAGAAAGCCCCACGACGGCCCTAGACACCCACCATACGGCCAAAAGGCCTCAAGACGACACAAGAGAGCGCCAAGCCGGCGTAAGAGGGCCCCAAGACGGCCCCAATGGACCACCAAGACTGCCTCACAGGAAGCCAAGACAGCCCCAAGGCGACCAAAACTAGATTCATTGCCCTCATCATCATCATCATCATCATTATCATCATCATCATCATCATCATCATCATCATCATCATCATCATCATCATCATCATCGTCATCATAATCATGAGCATCAGCATCAGCATCAGCGTCAGCATCAGCATCAGCATCAGCATAGGCATCATCATCAGCAGCATCCGCATCAACATGATCATCATCATCAGCATCATCATCATCACCATCACACCACATCACTATCACTATCACCATCACCATCATCATCATCACCATCAGCAACAACATCATCATCAGCATCATCAGCAGCATCAGCATCAGCATCAGTATCAGCATTAGCACCATAACCATCATCATCATCATCCATCATCATCATCATCAACATCAGCAGCAACATCATCATCATCATCATCAGCATCGTCAGCAGCATCATCATCAGCATCAGCATCAGCATTAGCACCATACTGATCATCATCATCAGCATCATCCATCGTAATCATAATCATCAGCAGCAACATCACCATCACCACCAACAACATCAGCAACATCATTATCAGCATCAGCATCCGCATCCGCATCAACATCAACATCATCACAGGCATAACCACCATCATCATAAGCAACGTCATTGTCATCACCGCCACCGACGTCGTCGTCGTCGCCGTCGTCGTCGTCGACACTATCATCACCATCATCAACACCAACGCCAGCGCCGTCGTCGTTTTTGTCGCTTTCGTCGTTGTCGTCATGTTCGGCGTCGTCGTCGCCACCATTGACATCATCATCATCAGCATCATCCTCATCATCATCCTTATCATCACCATCACCATCATCATCACCATCATCATCATCAGCATCATCGTCATCACCATCACCATCACCATCATCATCACCATCAACAGCAACATCATCATCAGCATCATCAGCAGCATCAGCATCAACATCAGCATTAGCACCATACTGATCATCGTCGACAGCATCATCCATCGTCATCATAATCATCAGCAGCAACATCATCATCACCACCAACAACATCAACAACATCAGTATCAGCATCAGCATTCGCATCCGCATCAACATCAACATCATCACAGGCATAACCACCATCATCATAAGCAACGTCATTGTCATCGCCGCAACCGACCTCGTCGTCGCCGTCGTCGTCGTCATCATCAGCATCACCAGCATGAACACCACCGCCGCCGCCGTCGTTTTTGTCGTTTTCGTCGTTGTCGTCATTTTCGTCGTCGTCGTCGCCACCATCGACATCATCATCATCATCATCATCATCATCATCATCAGGATCAGCATCATCATCATCATCATCATCATCATCAGGTTCAGAACCATCAGCATCAGCATCATCACCATCATCATCATCATCAGCAAAAACCACACCATTATCATTATCATCAGTATCATCATCAGCCTCAGCATCAGCATCAACCATAGCATCAGCATCAGCATCAGCATCATCGTCATCGCCTGCGTCATCAATCATCACCATCATAATCAGCATCACCATCACCATCACCATCAGCATCAGTTTCATTATCATGATCAGCAGCATCAGCAGCATCATCATCACCAGCACCATCACCATTATCATCATCATCATCATCACCATCATCATCATCAGCAGCAGCAACAGCATCATCATCACCATAATCATCACCATCACCATCAGCATCATCATCAACAACAGCATAAGCACCATCATCATCATCAACAACATCATCATCAGCATCAGCACCATCATCATCATCATCATCATCAGCATCATCATACGTATGCAATATCACCATCAGCATCAGCTTCAGTAGCAACATCATCAGCGTCATCAGCATCAACACAACCATCATCATCTGTATTATCATCAGCATCAGCATCATCATCATCAGCATCATCATCACCGTCAGCATCCCATCATCCTCATAGTCCTCATCATGGTTATTACGGGTCTCCCAAACCTGAAGACACGGCATGTCACGCGTGAGTGCATCCTGTGCCCCCTCAAACAATCGCCATCCAAGATGCTGGGCTGGCAAGGTGGCGGGACTTGCCGCAGGCCGCTGGATAAACGGACATTCACATGATGGCAATATGCATGGAAAGCGCGCGCGCACTAGCAATATCGTGAGAGATCGGTCAGCTGGCATCTCCGCCTGCGAAATGGTGGGAGGCAAGCTGAAAGGCGAGGGTGCCGACAACGACTGGAAAGCTGTGCAAAGCTCTCAGGACGAAGGAAGCGCAAATTCCGCCGGGAAGCCCCTGAGAATGCGTTGCTTCAGCTTCCGATCAACACGAACATTCGGGACTGCCGAGTGCCCACATGCTGCATCAAGGCGAAACCGAAAACTGTTCGAGGCGAAACCTGACAGCCGGCAAGAGGGAAACCCGAACACTGAAAAGACGCGAAACCCGACAATATCTCACGAGCGAAACCCGAAACGCCGACCGAACCCAAATCCGAGAACCCGAGAGGTGTCAGGTCCAACAATCCAATTCAGACCAGCCCAGCCTCGCCCCTCCTCGTTCTTCCTTCCGCCCACCTCCTTCCCCATTCTCGTTCGTCATCCACCTCTCCTCCTCGCTCGTCCCCCTTCTCCCTCGTCCTCAATCCGATCATCCCACCTCCCCCTCCTCCGCGACCATCTCGCGGGCTGTGTCCAGGGCCTGTTGCGCACCAGTCGCCCGGAGTTCTTTAGTGTCGCGCCGTTTGCCGCGCGGTAGCGCCGCCCATTATTTGACGCTTCCCGCCTGCGTCAACGGGAAATGTGCGCTCGAGTATACCGATGCCTCAACTGTCCCCATGTTCGACTCAGGGCAACTGTTCGGCACCGCATTTGACTCTTCAGTCCTTTCCCTTACTGCTACCAGTTCCAATTCGCCTGAGCTTTGCCCGGTTTCGCTTGCTCGGCTTCGCATCCGAGATCTTCGCAACGACCGTGCTTCCGGCGATGCAGTCTCCGGCATTTCACTCGCAGCCTCATTCCGCGCGCCAGTTCGTTCTTTCCTTTTAT